ACCCCAGCCGGTGCGCTCAGGAAGGGGCATGGGAGCCATCGGGCTCTCCCCAAGGTGGCATGGCCCCTCTTAGCCATCACCAGCAGGGTACCGGCCTCCACCCCTTGAGCCTGGATCTGTCCTGCCCCTCCAGCCAGGGATCCTGATGTGTAGCAGTCACTGTGTTACCCTCTGTGCCTTCCCCAGGATTGGCTGGGGGGAGGTTTCCTGTCCCTTCATTGCCCACCTGCGACGCACAGTCCCGTGTGTGCCCCAGGGCCTCCCCCCAAAGCCCCAGGGGCGCGAAGAAAGGGCCCTGCCCCGCAGTGCCAAGAGCGAGGCAGAGTTCTGGGAGGGAGAGGCCTGCCCGGTGCCTGTCTGGCCCTAGCTCGCGGGCGAGGATAAAGCACCGGCCGGCTGGCCTGTGACGCTCTCCCCCCTGTTCTAGTCCAGCGGAGGCCAGCACCAGATTCAGATTTTCGAGAAGGGGGACTTTGGCGGCCAGATGTACGAGTCCACGGAGGACTGCCCTTCGGTCCTGGACGAGTTCCACATCCGGGAAATCCACGCCTGCAAAGTGCTGGAGGGGGCCTGGGTTTTCTATGAGCACCCCAACTTCCGGGGCCGGCAGTACCTCTTGGAGAAAGGGGAGTATCGCAAGCCCGTGGACTGGGGGGCCGTGTCCCCCTCGGTCCAGTCCTTCCGCTGCATTGTGGAGTGAGGGGCGGGGGCTGAGCGCCCCCCGCGGCCAGGGAACCCGCGTGGCGCCGGCGAATAAAGCGAGTGGCTGATGCAAAGCTGCCTGGCCTGATTTCTGAGCGCGGCCCTGGCTGGCTGGCCCCTGCAGTCCCCTCGCTCCAGCCAGGAGCTAGGCCTTTGCTCCCAGGTCTCCTCAGCTGGGTGGGGATGTCACGCCCTCCCTCCCCATGGCACTGCTAGCCCTGCGCTAATCTCCATGCGCTCTGCACCCTGGGGTGGCCTTTGGCGTGGGCGCAGCTTTCAGCTTTCCACCCTGGGGGAGCGACCTGGGGCAGCCCTGCGGGTAGACGCCAGGGGCCACCTCTCCCTCGGGAGCCC